AAAAGAAGGAAAAGATCCTAGCAAACTTAACTATTTAAAGTGTGGGATACTGAGAGCTCTGAGCTAACGTTTATGTGAAATGATAAATTATTTACTGAAGCTGCACAAGTGCTCATACTGCCACTCAACCCAAAGTGACTCAAAAATTCTACCACAGGCTTATGATTTTAAGGATATTTAGAATGATTTAAAATATATGATTTATAATTCTATCATAAACCCATGATAAATAAACTTAATCCACTATTTAGATAATCCACCAGCAATCTGGAATTGCAGGCTTCTCTTCAGGGAGTCATAGACATGTGCAACAGTGTATGAATTCCCATGACAGCTGTCTCAGGAGGCACATGCATAAGGGACCTCCTCCCACATAAGAAAAAAGAGCATGTTTCCTGTGACTGAGCTTTAAGGGTTAATTGACTAATACATTTCATATTAACACCAAAAGTCACCACAGAGGACTGACAGACAAATAAAGCATTTCAGTCAGATGTAGTGCCTGAAGCAAACAGTGAACTTTCTGCTTCAGATAACCCTAGCATCTGTGTATCTACCACAGAGAAAATGAATGTATCAGTTTGGGGAAAAAAAAAAAATCTGATAAATTCTCATGTCACCACTGTGTAATGCTTTAGCTTAATATTTTTCTTAACCAAAAAACAGATTCCAGATCTTAGAAGTGATAGAGAAGACAATATTTAATTACATTTTCTCTGATGAACAAAAAAACCAAAATCAAAGGCAAATAAAGAAGAAATAGTTTAGTGTGGTTCAATGAATCTCTTTGTATACACAGGATGAATTAGTTGGAAATACTTGAAATTGTTTAAATTTCAACATCTTGTCTACAAAGTAAAAGAAAATGTATTTCAAAAAAAGAAGTATGTAATACATTTGTGGCTCCTTCTGCTTTCAAAAATCCAAGATAAGCCTTCTGCCTCAAACTCTCTACACTCCTGGAAACACAAAATTTGACAAATTTTGGCTGGAGCTTCTACAGCAAATCCCCTCATTTTCTCACCATCTTTTTCTTTTTTTTATACTTCTGGCCAGTTAATACACTTGACCAGACAGCTTCCATACATAGAAAATAACGCAAAAGACAAAATTACACTAAAGTGAAAGAAAAAACATTTCACAATGAACAAGCAGTCCATATGTGCTTAATTTTCTCTGTGTCTCAATTCTGAACTTCAGACTCTCCTCTTATGGTCCTAAAAAGATGCCTCACACAGCTTGTTTTGCTAAAAGGAAAGCTTGGACAACTGCCTCTTGTAGTTACCAGAGAGTGGAATTTAAACATTGCTTATGGCCTTTACTATGGTAAAGTTTTATTTTAATGATGATTAGTTTGCAACATCAGCAAAATGAATCCTGTAACTTGGGCAAGAGACTGAAAAGGATGTCTTCACACCTGATCAGGACTATGAAATGTTTCACCTGTAGCTGTTTTACTACTTTTCTGGCATGTTTCTTAAATTGCATGTACTTAATGCAATCCCCTGCAAATTAAAAGCAACTTCATCTGGACAGTTAGGGTGGGCAGCTCTGTAAGGACACACTTCCCATTTCAGAGTCTTAAAATCAGAGACAGTCAAAGACTAATTTAGTCCATGTACATGGAACATCACTCCCAAAAGTCTGAAGAGAAGCAAGTGCACCCATGCAGGTCAGCTCCACAGCACCTCTAATGTATCCAATAGCAAAAATAATGAGAATGAGGCGTCTGAACACATTATATACATCCATAAGCTAAGGAAATGCTGTGAATCATTGATGATTAAACGTTAAAACTCCTGTTGTGGTTTAATCCCAGCTGTCAACAAAGTATAACACAACCATTTTCTCACTCCCCTGCTGGGATGGGGGAGAGAATTGGAAGGGTAAAAGTGAGGAAAGACAGTAGAACAGGTAAAGTATAAGCCTTGTGCACATGCAAAATGTCACAAGAAATTAATTTACCACTTCCCATGGGCAGACAGGTGTTCAGCCATTCCCAGGAAATCTTCTCTCAAGCATACGTAACAATGACTTGGGAAGACAAATGCCATCACTCCAACTGTCCCCCCTATTCCTTCTCCTTCTCCCTGCTTTATATGCTCAGGACGATGTCATACAGTATAGGATTGTCCCTCTGGTCACTTGGGGTCAGCTGTCCCGGCTGTGTCCCCTCCCAACTCCCTGTGTACCCCCAGCCTGTTTGCTGGTGGGGTGGGGTGAGGAGCAGAAAAGTCCTTAACTCTGTTCTGTGTAAGCTCTGCTTAACAAACTGAAACATCCCTGGGTTATCAACCTGTGCTCAGCACAAATCTCAGACTCAGCCCCATACCAGCTGCTGTGAAGAAAATGAACCCTTCCAAAACCAACACAACTCCTGGGTCCAGTTCAAGACTGGTTAGCTGGAAAGCCTAGATGTTAAAAACGCAAATGCTATGCTCTTACCTCATGTGCTCTGATCCATTTACTGTATTAGATAAACAGCATTAATCTGCACAAAGCTATTGTAGTGCCTAATGGAGCTGTGAATGACTATTTTCTGATAGGTGAAGAGATTTCATGGGATTAGCCCTAATCAGGTACTTTATGTAATGAGAATCTCTCCATCCAGCATTGAACAAAGCCACACAAAACAGTTCTTTCCCCATATCTCAGCATGGTTGGGGTAGACAAAAAGATAGATTAAGGAAATGTCTGAGCAAGGAATACTTATTTTCATTTGTTCAATAAATAATAAAAAAATAAGGACAAGTCTAACTTCATAGACAGTAAAAAGACACATATTTACTCCAATTCAGTGCAAAACTAAACAGAAAAACCTGTCAGATTAAAAGAATCTGAGTTAATTTCTCCCATATTTTGGACATTTTTCAAATTGCGTAGTCACTGCATTTCATTAGACAAGTAAGCAGTTCAGTTTTGTACATGCAAGTTCATATTCCATTTAAAAGAAAAGCAATATATTTATTAAAAGATAAATTTATCAAAAAGCTTAATTTTGATCAATTTATTTAACATAGTATCTCTTTGTGAATATGTCCATTTATGTTATTGAAGGGATTTATTTTCTCAAACAAATACCAAAACTCAGGATGTAAAATAAATATATAAAACAGAGGTTCTAATGTTCATGCAAACCTCATGCATATATACTGGATATCTGCTAAAACACACTAAAGCATAATAACCTATTCAAAAATATTTTCTTTAAAGCAATTGCCTACATTTAATATTTAAGCCTTAGGGAAAAATTAAAGCAACAACACTTTTACTGCATAACATTCGCATAAAACATGGATGAGCGCTTCACTTCTGATAAAACAACATGCATCAGCAATTCATTGCATTAAGGTACTAGCAGATCAGGGGACAAAGAAAATCATGTTCAGAAAGATGAGAAAGATGATTTGTTGATTAAAAAATAAAAATAAAACCCCAAGCAAATCAACAACAGATTTTAAAATGAGTGCTATTATTGCCCTATATAGCCTTCAGATGTTATTGAAGATACCAACTTTTCTCTAGCCCTATTTTTTTTGCCTCTGTGCATTTTCAAATTAGATAGATAAAGTACTTCCAAGCAAGCAAAAAGGGAGGAATCAGATCAAAGACAATAAAACATGACAGATAAAGGCAGAGCTATCTCATAATAATAAAACACAGGAAAACAATCCACTTTTCATCAGGTCATATGGTTCATGGACTGTAGGAGCACATGGTATTCAGATACTAGCATGGAATTATAATACTGTAGGAGGCTTGAAATGGAATTAAAATACTGTAGGAGGCTTGAAATGCTAATTCATGTTAAAATTGTATATTTGAATAAGCCCCTCAGCTTAATCATTGAAATAAAGTTGAAACACGGGTCAGCTTTAGCTATTAAAAAACCCCCAAACATTAAATAAAAAACTCCAATGATGTCTTCATGTGAACTCATCACAGAAAACTAAGGGCGAACCAAAATGGTCTAGTGACAGCAGTCTGGATATGCAAATTACTGGCAAAATGGTAATTCCCAGCTATAGAAATGGCAGAGGAATTTTGGCCATTATCCCCTTAGACAGTAGGGTCCCTGTGATCCATGATTTTGTTTCTGATCACAAACTGCACTTTTGTGAATATTTGTTAATGGTATTGAATCAGTAAACATCAAAAGGCACATAAAGTTTTTTTAACAAGACAATGTGTCTAACCCAAGAGTGTAGACATACACAGATTGTTTCAGAAAATTCAGGCTCCTCATAAAGGAGTATGGCGAGTCATAAAAAAAACCCAAAACAAACCATAAAAAATAGTCTAGAACCATAAAATACAAACTGAATCACCACTAGAGGGAGAGTTAAATGCAGAATTATTTTTGTGCAAAAATGCAGAAAAGGCAGTGAACCTAATGGCAAGATATGAAACGCATTAAAGAGAGACAAAACAGAGCTCTGTGGAAATTTAAAACTGATCTGAAGATGGAAATGGCAATGAGGATTAAAACTGCAGGCAGGAAAAAAGAGCTAGCCTTTTTATGAGTTCACAATGTTCTCTGTACTCCTGCTTGCAATTATACTCTAGGGTGGCAATCAGTCATCAGGAACATCCAAAAAGAGTAATATCCAGTGTAATGGAAGTTATTTCATTCATATGTGTGTGATGAGCCTTTTCCACAATCCAGAATTAATTTCTTCTCCATCAAAAGTAGTCAAATCATACTACACTAGTGTTTAAGCACAGTGAGACTCATAAACCTTAAGAATGACATTTCAATCACAGTTAAATAAAAGTCAGAGGGAGCTTAAGCTCATTTTTAATATGAGACATAGTAACACTTATTTCAAACAGTGGCCTGAATATATTGAAAAGTAATATTCAGCAAAGGGAAGTCTATGGAGAGGCCATGTATTCTGTCTTGCATTATAAAAAGAGATGCATATACCTTATCAGACTGCTTGTTCAAAAAAAAACACCACTTATTTATTCCTTTTTTTTTGCATTGCCTTAGCTCTTACCTTCCAGATTCGAATGTAAACCATGTTGAGTCACGTCCATATCTCCTCAAAGAGCTCAGAGGCCACATGACCAGCTTGACCTTGGCATTGTGGATGTCCCAGAGATAGATGTTTTCATGTGTGATCTGCATTGTACATTCCCCATAGATATCTAAATTTGGTGTAGGCATAAGGTATACATTGAATCGTTCTGGAAAAAAACACAAAGACATTACAGGTTAAAGCAAGATTTTACACTGGGAAAAAAAATTGAAGTCTTTAGTTCTGATGATATAGAAATCATAGCCAAATTTCTGGCTTTAACAGAGGTGAGGATCCATTGATAGTGAAGCAGTTCTGCTAGTGCATAAGAGAGGAGTAAGAGGAGAATCAGCAGTCTGAAACATCTTTCACAGATGATCTGCATAGTCCTCTTGGACATATATTCCCAGCACCTTTACTGAAGTCCTTTTCTACCCTCACATTAATATCCATGGCTCTTTACAATTCAAAATTCACAATGATGAGAACTCTGACAGAGACTCTTCTCTCAAAGAACAGAACTAAAGGTATCCTGGAAAAATATGTATGTGCAGCCATTGCCTCTTAGAAAAGCTGTCCTTGAAATTGCAAATCCAAGTTTACTTATTGAAGCTTGTAAATAATTACATCCCTTGCATTCAGTTTCTGTTTATTTGCCAAAGTAATTCGTGTTTGCAAAATTAATAACAATTTTAATCATCTGTTGCTTTCTTGAAAAATCTGATTCAACATGATATATTATTATGGTCATGACATCAATCACTATCAGCTGCACTTTGTTTGGAAGGTGCACTTATTGCAGTAGGAGGTTAAGGGCATTAATAACTTTCTGAAGTGCCTGAATTGCATAAGATTTAATAAGCAATGCAAAAAAAAAAAAATCATAAAAAAGGGAAAGAAAAGTTAAAAAACAAAGTGATGTAAAACACCATTAACTCATATGGAAGGAAGTAAACATTATTAGGAAGAGAAATTGAAATAAAAATGCAATTTTCTTTGAAGAATAACTAATGTTTCTATGAGTTGCTTCTACAAAAAATGAAAAACTCAGTTAAATTTCTGTATATTGTACAGTTGTGTAGTTGGAAGTGCCAGCTTATATTTTAATGCTACATACATTTCAATATTAGGGCTTAATAACGTCATACAGGAGAGTGCGGTACATTCACAACTTTCCACTCACAGTTTTTTTTTCATCTTTGAAATGGGTAGAAATGCAAAATGTCAATTCTACTGCCTGAAGGTGTTGACAAAAAAAGGTAAGAACAATTCAAAGTATGAGCATGAGAAATGCTTATTCAATAACAAAATTAGGAAAATGTTCTTTAGAGAGACAACTGATAGGAAAACCATCTCCAATTACTTGATAAAGTAAAAGAGTTTGGTGTAGAATATTTTTAATCCACCATTGGAACTGAATTTTCTCACAGCGTCCTCACAAAAATTAGGAAGGAGTTTAAATTTAAGTGAGAGAAATTTCCTGCAACACTCAAAATTAGCTTCCCGTTCTGTTTGAAATTCAGTATCATAGACATTATGTCTCTAATTTTTAAACATATATATATATATATATATATATATATATATATGTTTTTGACAAAGTAGTTAAAATATTGCCAGTGAGTTAATATAAAATATGAGTGTGTGTGAGTTTGTGTCTCTGTGAATAAAGAGGCAAAAGTTTGAGGAATTAGAGAAAGCAAGGAATTGCTGGCTGAGCAATAAAAATTGCTGCATAGCTATAAGTAAACTTGTCATCCCCAATGTTGTTCTGTTTCAGTCAATTTAATTTTGTCCTATTAATGGCTCGCCAATTTATTCATTTAGTCACAACCTCTTCTCCCAGGCCCAAGTTTTCATTAGTCACACTAATAGGTTTTAGCCCTAAAAGTTTAATTTTATGACTAGGATCCCATGTGTGAAACTCCAGACATTTTGTGAAAATCTTGTGACACACAGCACAAGCAGATTAGCAGAGGCTGCTGAGATCCCTGAGGAGAATTTCCCCTAATGCTCAGAGGAGTGCAGGGGGCAGGGGTGTAATGTAATGCCTACTACACTAAATGGAAAGACTCACACTTGGGAGTAACGGGTCAAAGACTGCATTGGGAAGGAATGGTGGTGAACAAGATAACTTTCACTTTGCACTGCAAAGTGCATATATATATATATATATATATATATATATATATATATGTATATGTATATGTATGTATATACACCCTTTCAGTATCCATATGGCATCACAGAGAAATTCCTCGCAGCTCTGCAGGTGTCCTCTGATCATGTATTAGACTCCAGCTTTGCACTGCCACACTGTCAGTTGTTGCCACTTCCCTCCTCTGTTTGAAAGAAAGATGCAGGAACTGGCCTGTCAGCTCTTTCTCTCTTGCATGACACGAAATAACACAGTGTGGGTATGGGGGATGGGGTTACTATTTGAGAATGAAAATCTTTCTTTTTCCCCATCTTCACTGACAGAATGCCTCAGACAGCAGAGAAAATGAAAAGGTACAATTATTTTTTGAAGTTAATATTAAACTGCTGTGTGGAAGGCACAAAGTACTTCAACTTGCTTTGGATGTTACCAGGTTAGTCATGAAATGCTCAACTTCTCTGAAGTGTTTGAGAGTATTACTGTGTGAAGGGCATTCAGGACATATGGCATCTTCAAACTGTCAGGAGACATTTGCTGACTTTGCATGGGAGGTCAGCGTCTAAGGTGAGATGTCAGGGATTAAAGGAAGTATGTCTGATTAAAGTGAACATCAGCTGCAGGGCAAAACGTAGCACTCTTGGAACTGAATCAAATTGGCAAGAAAAACAAGTGTACAAACATATGTGCTGGAGAAGATTGAGGATGGATAGATTTGTTTTTGAAAAAAAAACCTGTACTTTTGGATAATGGACAACTGAGGACATGGAAAGGTGTAGATACTATTAAATGGTTTTATTAGTTAATATAAAGGGTCAAATTTTTTCACTTCAGAAAATATTTGAGCAGGTATCTAGTTAATGGTAACACAGCCATTCCATCTTTAGTGGCATGTTTTCCCCTTACACTTATCCAGGCAAAAACAAACATTTATCATAGGCCAGATTTGGGAATCCCAGCTGAATTCTGACACCAGATCTTCTGAGTGACATTGAATAGGTTATTTTGCTTCTCTTTGATTCAGATAACATCTGCATATGAGTAGGATGAGATAATAACAGTCCATTGGCTAGTAAAACTCAGCAAATAGAAGTAAATAAGGGACCCAGAAAGTAGGGAGATGGAAGAAACCAAACAAGTAGATGTGATATTGAACAAGGCAAGACTGGGACTGAACAGGCACAATTCCTCAGCATTCACGATTCCTATCCTCCTCCCTCCTCTAAACAGGTGAGAGCAAAGTTCAGGGAGTAGAGCAGCCAGGATGAGAAAACAAGCTGCTATATTGCTACACTTATTTCACTCAATGTGACTGCTCTTTCCCATCTCCTTGAATAAGCAGAGCAGTGCTTCATCATACACTTAGTGCATGTAAAGGTGTTTAGCATTTGGGCTTTGGCAAGAATACGACAATTAATAATGCTTTCCAGGGCATAGGAGCATAAGAGTCTTTATGAAAATGAGCATATTGACTGAGACAGAGACTTGGCAGCAACTCCAAAATGCTCTCAGCTGTACTGGGGGAACAAAATGGCTGGAGCCCAGTGATCCTGATTCTGCCATGTTATCACTGGATTCTTTTGGTTAAATCATCCCAGCTGGAAAACTGACCAGATGACATTGCAATCTTGCAATCCAGATGCTTGGTTTCATTTCAGCTTTAATGATGGGTAAAAAATTACTCATAGAAGGATACAGTCAGGTGGCAGCACCTATATAAATAAGTAAGGCTTTGAAAGCAAATATTCAATTTATATGTGAAAGAAACTCATCCACCTGTGAGACTTCTGCTGCTGCCCAACTATTTTGGTCAATTGGCTAATTTTCAGGTGGAAAGAGAGCTTAAAGTCTTGAAGGTACAGCATTTTGTGTTTATTCATATCTTAGGGCTATTAGAATGTTTCCCTTCTGCTGTATGCAGTAAGGAACCAGGATTTCAGACGAATTTTTTTTTCCTTTTGCGTATAAATATTCTGCTTTGCATTCACTAAAAATGTAAGCATCTCAATAAAAATATAATGGTAGGTAAAGACTTCATATTGTTTCAGTGGTAAGTAGTAAGGTAGAGAAGAATCTCAACTCTCACTGTATTAACATTAAAACTGTAAACACCTTACTTTTCTGAATAAAGCTGTCTATGTTTCATTTATTTTAAAAAGCCCAACAAACAAACCTATTGTATAAAAATGGATTAAGGATAACAGAAGATGAATAAAAATCCATGCAAAATGCTTTTATGTATTAAATTACAGATGTTCTACAGACCCTAGAAAATGCCCTAAAACAAGTCACTCTGTGAATGTAATTACAAAGCGTCTATGTTTTGGCTGTAGTTTGTAATCTCAATATGTAGCACAAAGAAATACCTTATAATCCTCTTCTGAGGATTCAAGGACATTGTTCACTATCAAAAGCTACATTTTTACTAACAAGAATTAATGAGTTTCTTGCAATTAAAATCCAGGAAGCAAGACTGCTGCTCCTGTGTTGGGTTTTTAAATAAAAAAGGAAGGTAAAACCAATAAAAGAATGAAACTTTACAAAGGATGTAATTTTATGAAATACTAATTTAAATATTAAGGAGGGAGGAAAAGCAAAAATTTAATTATCTTTCGAACTTTTCCAGACTTTGAAAATAAAAATTAGGTTTATCATGGAGTAAAATGTTTTTAAAAAATAAAGCCTCAAAACACATAATTAAATAGCCTCATATTGATACCACAGGACTGAGTTAGAAGTAAATAAGATATAGCAGCAAATGATGGATCTGGCCTTTTCTTCAGTTTAAAAATTTGCATTTTAACATTTGCCCATTTTCTTCAAGTTTTAAATCAGGTTAACAAGTAAAGTTTAATGGAAAATGGTTTTGTAAAAGAAAAGTTTAATAGAAAATTATTTTACATGAGTATTCAAATATTTTAGTGCTATTATTTAGTATTTAAAACTGAAATAGAATCTTCACTGAAAAGACGCACCTGCTCCTAAAAAGTGAATTTATTAATAGTCTCCACATAATATTTTTTTAACCAATATTATATTGAATATTCTGTTTTCTTTTTCACAGTAATTATAGTATGTTATATAATGTCCATTTGGATTACATCTTTCAAGTTGCTTCCTTTTATAAGGAATGAAAACAGTGAGACATTGGACACACTGTCCATTGTGAGAATGGAGAAATTCTAGATATGACATCACCTGGGAAGATAAAAACAAAAAAGAAAAAAAACCTAAAATTTGTTTTTGTCATTATGTTTTGGGGTGTATTGCAAATGCTTCCAAATGCATTGAGAGCTTCCAGTTCCCAAATTCCAGTTCTTCCAAACCAAATGAAGTCAACACACTACATCCACAATTTATTAATCTAGCAGCATCTTGAGAAACCTAAGGATTATGAAATGTGCATGAAAGAATCACAGCATATTGCTTAGAAGACTTGTCAACAGCATAATCAGATCCAACTCAGTCCAAGTTTTCTTTCATGGAGCTAACTGTGTATTATTATTTGTCTTATCATTGCATATAAAGCTTCACTGCCATTATATGAATTTATTTACCAATATTATAGGTAAATAAATTACCTGAATAGGATTCCGAAGTGAGGCCTCTATTGCTTTGCTTTCATACTGTGTTTTAATTCTTTAGCAAATAATCTAAAGAGAAATTCATAAACGCTAGAGACCATGTACAGTGTGAAAAGAAATTTAAACAGAAACAAGGTTGCTGCATTAAGGCTGAGGTACAACAACAAATCACTTAGATTTGCAGGAGAGAGAAGATAAAATGGTTGGAGAGCAACAGAAGCTTCATTTCACATCTCAATTTAATTGGAATTTTTGCATCATTCTAAGCTAAGCAGCCATTAGTTGTGAGCCTTAAATTTCAAAAGAAAACCACCTAATAGTCATTTTCTGCAGCAGAGTTTACACAGCGAGCCTTGTGGTAAGCAGTAATGGAGCTGAAATCCAGTGAGAAGCTTCCTGGTACTGATGTGCTTTTCACAAAAGTAGCTTAGATGTCTTCTCTGTCCTTCCTACAAGACACAGCAGCAGGGCTCTCTGCTATAAGCAGAGCAGCTCTACATTTTGCCTTGTTTTGCTGCCACCACTGCAGAATTTTTCGGTGCTGGAGGCTCAAACAACAGCACAACTATGCTGGAACAGATCTCACTGGCACTTACTGACCAACCCAGAGTGATAAAATAATGCCTCTTTCAGGTATCTTAGATTTCTATTGTCACGTGACAGAGCTGCCTTGTGATTGTATGGCCTTTGCACACCAAACAGCAGTTTTGCCAGCCTTTGGAGCAAATTTTTATTTTTTTTGGCAAATCATGTTGTTGCATTTCTGCTACAGAGAATCATCTAAAGCTCGTCTCAGAAGAACCACAAGAGCAAGACTGGCAGGATAAACAGGCTCAGAAACAATATGAAGAGGTACTAAACAAATGATAGAAAACATGACTATTTTCTTTACCAAGTATTTTCTGAAATGTATTTTTTTGTATATAAAAATACAAGTATCATGTAGCAATTTTAGTGGCCCCAGGGCATATACAATAACAATTACAAAAATAATTTCAAATATTGAGAGTAGTGGCTTTGGTGGTAACATATAGGAAAAAACTACAAATCTATACAACAGAAAATTGGCTTTTTTTTTTTTTTTTTTTTTTTTTTTGAGAGAGAGAGCCAATTTATTTATCTGATGTATTTGGTGAATACCCTTACATCATTAAAATGTTCTTTAAGAACAAGAATGGGCAAGTAGTTGAACACACGAAGAACTCTGCATATTAAGAATATAATCTCTTGGAAAAGGTAAAGCAGTTCATGAAAAAAACCCACCTTATTAGGTTACTGTTTCTAGTTCAAAGAGGTATCTTTACCAAATATTATACATTTTAGAAAATCTTTATTAAAAAGTAATATTTGAAAAAAACTCAGTGGAATGGGATGCAATTAATGCTTAATACACCTGGTTTTTTAGGATTAATGTATTAACCCCTGTTATATCATAAAGATCTGAACACTATGACACCACCATTCAATATCTTTTAGCCTTTAAAAATGAAAAAAAAAATTCCAAAACTGAAAACCCATTAACACTATGATATTTATTACAATCTGTGGTCTTGCTCAAACAGTAAGAGACATCTTTTGTTCAGTGACCTGAAAGAAAGCCTTTGTATGGGTCAGGCAACAGAACTTGCATAAAACTAGATGCTGAGGCCGTGAGACTCTGCTATATGTTTTACAAACTGTATTCTCACATCTCTGTTTCAAGTAAGCATTAATAAATTTACAAACTCGAGAGGAATTCTATCAAGTAGACACACCTTCAATATGTTTTGAAGAAACGACATTCAAACGTACTACACCAGTATTCAGTTTTTATTTAACACAAAAAAAAAAAAAAAAAAAAAAAAATTATCCAGAGAGTGACACAGCTGCCATTTTCACAAACAGCAAGATTTTAGACGCTTCCTACATATACCCACTGTTCATGAATTTTCAATTATAAAATTAACTTTGACTTTTCAGTTTTACGTAAAAAAAAAGCTCAAAAACAATATTTATAAGCAAAAGCTCAGTAGACTTTCAAAAGTTTTTGAGATATTTTTTGAACTACTGTTTTTGATAGCACGTGTGTAAAAGCTGCGTATGCGGAAAATGTGCAAGAAAATAAACTACAAATCTGAAATGATTCCACCCAAATCACCAAAAATTTCCACCCTAGAACTAGTCACCTTCTCAACAGCACTGTCATGTGGGGAATGACACTGCCAGGTTTGCAGAGTAAGATACCCAGTGTGAACTGAAGGCATGGTTCCACTCTACTGAAGAAATCTGCTACAGGAATTTCAGTGCAACTGCATGTTCTTACAGCACAAATAAATGAACAAAATGTCAGATTTCATACCTATAGTAAGAATCTCTGCACTTTTTCCTCCTTCCAAGTTGATTAAAAGACATTCGCAACAGAATTTGTTTTGCCTCTGAACAAGACAACTTTGAATTTCAAACATACTTATTAAAATGCAAAGTTGTGCATCAAGGGGATGAGGGAAGGATGAGGATAGGTATCAGAATTACTTGTTTAAGATACTGTAACTAATGATTTAGCAGAGCATGCTCGTCAAATATTGGATTATATGTATTCCGTCGCTTGTTTTAAAAGAATACAGCTAATGATACCCTCCATGCATTATTATTCATGTGATTTGTACAACAAATACATGCTTTTCTTCTTTGTTTCCTTCCATTTATTTACTTAGAACAATAAAGATGCTAATTATGTTCATATATGCTGGTTGGTAACACTGCAATTAATTCTAGACTAAAGCAATTGAATCAAGACAAGTTCATACAACAGAATGAATATATGCCTCCTAGAGGTCATGTGTGTCTAACATCTTTCAGGAACATAATAAAATGTAATATTTGCCATCCATGTCCAAAAGCTGCTGGAGAGTACATGAATTCACTGCAGAAAGAGCTTGACAAATTTCAAACTACTTTTCTGTTCACATCCCAGGCTTTTTGATGAGGCTTATTTCCTTTCACGTTTGTGAAAGACCTCCACCTGTTCACACAGCTCTCCCTTCAGTAGCATGCAGATGAGTTTAATACGTATAGCCTATGAACATATAGCAGATGGGGTGCTTTGAGTGCTGTCTGATCATTATCACTTTCCTACAACATTAGTAGCTCTCCCTTTGTTAAGTAGTTTGAGACTACAAATTGAATTCTGTGTCTCATAGCAGGTAAACAACTTTATGAACATTTGAACTTCTTTTAAATCCTATTTCAACATGTCTGCTTTTTGAACAGAATTCCTTAAAGATTTCTGTATATTTCCTGCTGTGTGCTATTAGGTTCAGAGAAATAATATAATAAATATAGTGCCATACATTCTACAATTTAATTACGTAATTTTGTTTATAATGATAGCTGGCTTGATATTTTATGACCATTGAGGCAGTGTGTGTTATTACTTTGTTGAAAGCTATTGGATCTTATAAAAGCATCAAGACAGTAATAATCATTGAGAGCTGTAATTTAGGGAGGGCTAAATGAGCACATTTTGTGTTGCCCTCGTGTTCATTAATAGGAATTAAATGACAGGGTAATCACAGATTTTCTTTTGTTATTGCCTAGTCCATCCACTAGCATTCTTCCTGTGCATGTCTCTAATCCAAATAGCCTTTAGATGAAGACTTACAACTCAGGCTTAGTGCTGACTAACATCTGTCACTGCCCTTTTCACCCACATTTGACAGCATTTAGAGGACCCTGACTTCAGTATTCAAGACAGGTAGGAGTTTAAAGCAAATATGTGTTTTGTAGTCCAAATTGCTGTTGGAATGCTCATCGCTGTCCTTAAAGGGCTGCAAAACAACAGCTGCTGCTTTATTCCTCTGCTCAGAAGCCATCATTTCCAGAAACAGAAGGGTCATGGCCACCATTTCCCATGACAGGGAAATCTGAACACAATGAAGACACAAAGTCATTCTATATGTATTATTTGGCATGGAATTTAATCATCTTTATTTGTAAAAAATAATAGGCTTGAGCTTCAAAAGCATATCTGAATGTTTAATTACTAATGATGTGCTTCCAGCTACTAGCAGAAGTTCTCACAACAACAGGCACAAGCAAAGATAAAATGGGATATCACCTAAGAACTGATCTAGGAGTAAATAAAAAGTTACTTACCGTTTTGTTCTCTCTGGACTCCAGCAGCAAGCAAATCTGGTTCCCCAAGACTTATATCATTGAGCCTGGCTCCTAGACATTCCATGCAAAGATGCTTGCACCACTCCTCTGCCTCTAGTTCTGAGGAAACAGAAAGAAATCCATTGATGTTGATATTAAAAAAAAAAACAAACAACAACTTGTGAAGTTAAAGTGTTTCTTCACTTCTTTCTGAAGTGTTTCTTACTGACAAGGTTTATCACAATTTGTTTGCGTTGAAACATGAGTTATTAGCATAAAGTCCCACAATAATTTCTTTGCCTCAACTTATGAACTTTTATAAAGAGTTACACTATTAGGACTGCATCTTCCATCCTCAAATTTGAGGATAGGAGGTGGAGCTAACAAAGAAGAGGAATAGTGAATTTTCAAGGCAGTATATTTCTAGTGGGACCTCTTGGAAGAAAAAATGCAATTTAGAAAAACTTCATATTTAATAACTGAAATATTCTTTACTGCTTTTTAGGCAAGTCTGAACTCCTAAGGTAATTTCTTTTTCTAAAGGTGTTAGAGAATTTTTCTAAGAGCAAAGGAGAAACAGTTATAAAACGCTCTTCAAATGCCAAACTTCCCTCTCTGCTGTAGTGAAAGACTATGCCTGTCAAGGTATTCTTAATAATTAATTTCTTCACTTCTGTTCACCTTTTGGTCTCAGGGCAACTTGGGCATTAGTTGAAACATTTATGAGAAGATTCAAAACTTCCCAGCCCTTTTTGAGTTGACTTTCCCATTGACTGAATATGAGAGCTCTGCATCTGCCAGTCCACCAAAATGTGGATTCCATGAGGTGTAATTCCCACATACCACACAACATCCTCCTATTCAACTTCAGATTCATCCTATCCACTTCCCAAACTGAACATCATGAAATCCGTGGCATTTGTCAAACACGAATCATCTCAAGTTGGAACTAACACAGTGTGAAACTACAACCAAGAAAAACCATGCAACTATGCTGATTGTCTTTTATTTGCAGGAAAGACTTAATGTAAAGGAAAGTTCCTGGAGAGCAGGGCTAGGACCATGGGCATCACTGGGCATCCATGGTCACAGTAAGTCTCTATCTGAGCATATTTAACAGTGAGGGGTTCCCCAGTAATCTAGGAATGTTTGCATTAAACTGCCAGTTTTTTCAGTCCTTTCTTGGGGGACATTGGGAAATTTTGTGACAATCTCTCAAATGTACTGCTTAAACTGGGAGAGAGAAAAATATTGCATGCAAGCCCCAAAGCATTTAGTGATGATGAATTATTGGAATTAGCAACATTTTTTATCTGAGAAAAACTCCTCTAAGCCTAATTGGTACAGTCCTCAAATTCTTGCCTGGTTAGACATAGCTCTCATACAAACATTTGCTGGACAAGAAAGGGAAACAGGCACGCAGTTCCGGGTCTCCAAGAACCTTTGGATACCTTCTTTTGTTCAGTATCTTGAATAATCCAGGAACAGATCCATGTCGTTCCTGAGTTATTCTGGCTATCAGCTGACTAAGTTCCCAGCCAAACAGCTGAAAAACCAAAGACTATTTCGGAATTATTGAGAACAAAATATGGTTGTTGTCACAAGATTTTGGGGGTGCTTCTTCAGAGTGTTGTGAGGAAAGTGGTGTCCCTTAACCCTTCCTGCTTTTTTGAAGTCTTTGTCTCAGGATACGGATTCTCAAAGTTTATCTTCTCATAACACCCTCACCTTCTAGTTGTAAGAGACAGAACATTATGTCAATAACATACAGATGACATTTAGCTTTGTAGGTGAAAAGAAAATACTGAGGTAACAGCACACTGTTTTTTCAACACTGCTACAGATGCAGCATCCCTGATGGAAGGAAGGAGAGAATAGGCTTATCTCTGGACAACAATACATTTTTACAGCTTTTAAAAGAGGGAAGATGAGCTTGTTCAAACACCTACTTCCAAAATTATTCTACTCATACATGAAGAAATTTCCCATATATTTCCCCTTCCCCTCTTTCAGCATTTGCCATTTCCTTGGACACTTGTGAGGTCTTTTGAACCGAAGCCATAAATCCCACTTTCCCATGGAGAGAGGTTTCATGCCAGGGAGATAAGTGATAGAACTGGACACCAAGCCACACTGCCCTGTTCTGGCAGCATGTGGATGGGGTGAGGGAGCAGGGCACCAGCACACAGGTAAGAGAGTTGAGGTGCCATTGAGTTACCCAACAACTTCTTCCAGTTATAGATAAAGACAGGGCAATCAATCGGCAAAGTTGGTAGCACAAAGATGACAGTGCAAATCTCAGCAAGTGCTCCCATGGGTTTTTTTTTTTTGCTTCTTTTCTGCCTAAACTGTGTCACAGAACAATATATATGCTGACAGAATGCATAGCTCTATATAAAGACTGCAATTTTTCCTGGAGTGTGGCCAGAATATAACATTTTATGTATTTTACAAAATCTGCATTTTCTTACTTTTTTCATTGTGCTTGCACCCAGACTCAAAGGCTTGTAATGAAAATGTAGAATAAGATGATGGTAAATAAACACTAACCTAGCCTTTCTAATATTACAAATATTTGAGAAGAAAGTGAAACACACTGGTAATCCTATAAATGCAGTTTAACATCAATATATATTCAAAAGATAACTCATGTAAAAGCTAAAAATTCATCTTAAATATATTCTCACACCAAATTTCCAGTAGATGTTTTTGGAAACAAACAAATGAAGTGCTCTAGGAAGCTGTTTCTTCTATGTGTCCTTGTGTTGTCTCCAAAATCTACTTGCTTCTCCCTTTTACAGGAACATCTAGGTCTTGAAAGTTTGGATCCAGAGACCCCCTTTCAGAGTGTTCAGCTGGCAGTTTAAGTTGTTGCCTTATTGCTGCCAGAGTCTGATGATTAGGCCCAGATTAGACCATTCTCTAACTGCCATACAGAAGAAATTTATCTTAGTATGAGCATTATAGGGTCACGGCTACATTTTGCAAAGTGTAGGCTATAGCATGCATTGTACTGCTGTATAACTCAAAATTTCTATCTTACAAAAATGATTGACTTGATGCTACAGGAAATATAGTTTCAATGCAGAACTGAAGTATCTTCCCACAGAACTGTGAGGATTTGTGTTTGCTGTCAAAAGAATCAACGTTATCTACAAATGTGTCTGGAAGATCAAGGGTATGAAGGTAATGCATAAGTTAGTCCTGCCAAATGCATTCTGATAGCTATTGCTTACTTGTAGGGAATTGCCTTCAAACTTTTCTGTGATGGACATGTGAAACCTTCTTTTTAGAACCAGGTTAGTTACTTTTCAAAACCAAACCCTTGATTCTCCTTTCACAATGCACATAAATAAAGGAATTTCCCATTTTTTTTGTAAAATGTAGGAATGTCTCATGTCTCTGGGTAACAAAATTAAATATTATTTATGATGCAAAAAATATTTATTATAATTTACAGTACATAAATGTGTCATGGCAGCAATCTTTAAGAATGCCAGGTACCACATCAGAAAACAGCGATATCTCAGTTCCTTCTTTATTTTGATTATATGCCTATACTGAAACAGATGAAATATTACAGTGGAACAAAGTAATAAAAAAGCATCAGCAAACTTGTCCTCTTTAATGCATGTAGATTAGATTTATTGGTGGTAAATGCAGAGTTTTTAGTCATAACTGGTACTTGTCATTGAAAAATTTATTTTCATTTTAAGATAACTGAATTCCTGGACTGAATGATAAATTGTAAAGCATGCTCTCACAGCTATAAATAAAATCAAAATACCTGCATTTTTATCTTTACTGCTATTTAATTATAAAATGCTACAATACAAATCTCATGAGGTGAGATAAAATGCAAAGAGATGGGAGACATTAAATAGTTACTATTTACTGCATAAGAAACATTACTGGGAACAAATTTGTAAGCTTGTTACTCAACTTGCTTTGGCAATGTTTTGATCTGAGTTTTAGGTCATGCCTGAGGCTATATGTAATTTCTGCTCAGTTCTCAGGTGATTACAGTGGCACTGTACCTAGTCTGGCCACTGTCTTGGACATAGGTGATAACCACAGGATGATGTTGGTTTGTTGATATAATAGCAATGCTGAAATAATATCAGCAAATTGTGTTAGAGATAGGAATTTGTCATAGTAAAAGTGTACGTCTCCTACTTACATTTTAAAAGAAATAACTATACAATTCGCTACTGAGAAGGGGTGAGGGGCAATGGAACATATATGGACACATTTCAAATTTACTGTGTACAGAAACTCTCTAAGATCTCTTTCTATCTGGCCTGTAGATCCTCTAGATCTCTAAGGCTAGAGGAGGGATTGTTTTCAGGCTTAGGAAGATTTTGTGTGTGGACTTAAACAAACACCTTTTGAATCCTGATAACTTCACGTTCTTTCACGTTTTCCTTCTGTGTTCACATGGCACAATGCTACAGCAGCATTCCATCTCCACCACCATAAGTTGCCAGCACAGTTGGATGCCTCTAGGCTGAGATAAAGCCCTGAACTGCTGTCCCCTCCTGCTCAGTCCAGTGCCCTTCATTTCGGGAGATCCACTCCATCACTATCAGCAACAGTTTATTGAATTTGTAAATAAAAGGGCTCAATTTATATGCACCTCCTAGAGACAGGTCTCTTCTCCTTCTCATGTAGCCCACATAAAGTGATCTGGTTAAGAATTTAGGTTGGAAATAGCATGTGTAGAATAGTAGAGGGGGATAACAAACATTGTCCTTGTGCAAATAAAAAAATCTCATGTCTTCATGTTCTGCCTGATGTCAAACTGTATAAATCTGAAATATTAGTTTCTTAATTTCTGAAACATTTTTATGTATTTGCTGTAAAAATTGTTTAGCTCTTCTTCCTATTAAATGATGGCAATAAGGGGCACAAATCCAACTAAATACTGTTACTGTGAATGAAACTGGAGAATCTTTCCTGGTTAGATTAGTAGGATTTAGACCTAATATTCTCTACCAAGAAAGAAAGATGATACCGAAAAATGTGCCAGTTTATCTCTTCTAAAAATCACTCAGGCTTAATTAGAAGTTAATAAGAATAAATATTACAGAATTCCTACAGGACTGATGTGCTATTATACT